GGAGTATTTTTCTTCCTGCTAAAAGAAGGAATCTGAAGCCTGCTCATGTTGTAGCCGAGTGATGAGAGCGCTAAGAGGTTGTCTGAAGTGAGGAGATCTGAGCAGGAAGGAATATCGTTCAGAACGTATTTCTTCAAGTAATTACTCCTATCCCTGCAAACACTGTAGCTCAAGTCATCACAAGGTATTCCTAAGGAACGGCATAAGAAAGTACAAAAACGGGGGACGCATGTTTCGCAGGGGCAATCATGTTTATGAGATTTGAATTTCTTATAGGAGGAAACAGAACAGACACCAAAGGCGCTCGGGATTGGGTAACCCTCTGCAGCCGGCGAAGACCAAGCCCCACTAATGCCCACGATGCTATCCCTCCAACCCTTTTCAGATTTTATTGTGTCCGTACATATGGACATCTTCTCGAACGGGTAGAGGTGGTAGAAGGGTTCGTTAGTACGTATCTTACTGACCTTATAACACAGAAGAAGGTCTATGAGGTCAAGGTCCAGATTTCTGTCACGCATCAACAGGAGCATAACGGATATAATTCTAAAGAAATTGGGGTTTACCTGCAGGGGGGATATCCCCAATCTATTGAAGACATAACTAAAGAAAGGGTGCAGAGGGAACCTAACGACATTCAATTGAAGGTTCGTGAATAAGACTTCGCCGGGCAGGAGGCCGGCACCGGTCATAATGTTAACGTCCTGAGGGCAAACCCTAACTTCGATGTTGTCAGGAAGTCTAAGTCTCATACGAAGAACATCCAGATCTACAACCATGGTGGAAGTGCTTGAAGGATCTAAAAGGGGGTAAATAGAAGCCTACCGAAAGTAAAAAGGAACAATACTAACCTCTGAGGACTGCAAGATCGCTGGAAGAATGACTCTTGAAGGATTTCACCAGAAAAAGCTTAGCACTGTTCTAGAAAGAGAGAGATTTGACTGATGATGGAGACGGTAAAAAGACGTGAAGTGGTATCCTAGAGCTTTATAAAGGCGAGGGGGGCCCGAGGGCCGAAGCGTCAGGAAGGCGAGAAATTCATCGAGCCCCGGAACATTGATTCTGGATCTGACCGTCCGTTCCCCCACGTGGTTTTCTCAAGCCGTCAACGTTATGATGAGACGCCATCAATAATTACCCCCTTATTAAATAAGGGGCAATTATGGGGGCAGTTGAGGAGGCCCAGGACGACATGGGCCGGATCTAACTTGCAAGCACGACATCCGGTCCGTACAGCTGGGTCAGCCCATAAAAAGACACTGCCATATGGGCCAAACGCGAATAAGCCCATCAAAGGTGACCAAGACTTATGGAGGAACAGGCCCAGATCCAGCAATCCATCAATATTTGTAAATATCTTGTAAATATCTATAAATAAGGGAAGGAATGGAAAGAATAGGGGATCTTTTTGTTGAAATGTACGAATTCTAGAGAGAGAAAGGGAGTATGAATTTCTTGCATCTTCAATTACAGCTGGGTCAGCCCATAAAAAGACACTGCCATATGGGCCGAACGCGAATAAGCCCATCAAAGGTGACCAGGACTTATGGAGGAACAGGCCCAGATCCAGCAATCCGTCAATATTTGTAAATATCTTGTAAATATCTATAAATAAGGGAAGGAATGGAAAGAATAGGGGATCTTTTTGTTGAAATGTAAGAATTCTAGAGAGAGAAAGGGAGTATGAATTTCTTGCATCTTCAACGGTCAACTAACGCAGGGGTGGTGGGGTTCAGTCAACTAAATCTTAGGGGAGGTTGACCGAACCTTTTAAAAAAGTTTAGGTAGTGTTTGGGGGAGCTTTCGAACACAAGAAGTCCTTTAACAAGAAAGGCCTTACAAGAATGACTTTGTCGGAAGGAATTTAGAAGAGGAAAGAGAGATAACAGGAATGTGGTACTCTTCCACTACCAATAGGATCAGTTAATACTTAATAGGCATTCTATAAAAAGAAGAACACACTAATTCTTCTGAGTCAAACAAGAACACATTAATTTCTATAAAAGACAAAATAGACACCCGGTAATAGGCAAAATCCTGATTTCAATTAGAGAAACTAGACATCCTGTAATAGGCCAAATCCTGATTTCAATTAGAGTAAGGATCAACAACGTCGAGATTAAGAGTCCTGATTTCACCACCAACTCAAAGATTGTGATTCATGTACTGACAGTACTGTTCATGCCCTTTTCGCTCATTCATAATCATCCAATTGGAGGTCAACAGTAAAATCTTCGACATTGCTGATGGTAGTACCTGTGTTGGCTGGTATCGACGCTAATGGCAATGTCCCTCTTCGTAAATGGTGTGATGATCACTTTCGATGCATAGGATAAATAATACAAAAGGAGGAAGAGATATATGTGATACAACTAGTAGAATTTGATCAAAATTGTGACATCCCGCATCGCCTGGAGGAAGTTCCTGGCGTTTATATGCGTAGACACCACTTAACCATGTAGACACGTTTTGAGCAAAACCATGAGCATCGAGAGGAGAGTGTGCAAAGCAAACTATCTACAAGGTGTGGGGGCGGGTCATGACAAAGCTAAACAAAATGGAGACAAAAGAATTACAAATAGATTAAAAGAAAAATTGTATAGGACAATTATTAGGCTAACTTACCAACAGGCCTATAGCCTAGCGGTACAAGGCCCTTACTTTCCAAAGGGAGGTTAGGGGTTCGAACCTCAGTGGAGGCAATGTGTGTGAGTACTGACTAGGAAAAAAAAAAATTATTAGGCTAACTTTCTATATGGACAAAATGTCAAGCTTTAGAAAAAAAGCAAAAACAATCGATTTAGGTAGCAAAAATGAGAAAAAAGTAAGCTTAGACGAAATCTACAAATACAAGAGAGTCTTATAGATGCACTAGTAAAAAGAGAGAGATTAATTTCCATAGAAGATAAAAGACAGAGTGCAACCAAAATTAAGGTGGGATGAAGTATTAGAAACAACTTTTAAAAGTTAATTTTTAGAGGTGAGATGCCTTGTAAGAGAAAAAAATGGAAAAAAGAGAATTCATATGGGCAACAAATTACATAAGTAAAAGTTACGACAAACGCAACGAACCCAAGAACAAATCAAGAAACACGATAGAAAAATAATCAAACCACACACACACACAAAAAAAAAAAAAAAAAAAGACACAAAGATATAGCGTGGTACGGCAAAGCCTACATCCACGGTGGAGATTGGAGAACCAGCTAAAGTTTGTAGTACGAGAAAAATAGAAGATTACAATTTTCAGCCCCCAAACCCTAGCCCTAGCTCTCACTCTCTTTCTCTACAATTTTCAGTGTCTCAATCAATCCCACTCCAAACCCTAAGAGCCCTTATATATTGGACTACAAGAGAATACTAAATAGGTTCCACGACCCGCATAAAAAAAACCGGGTCAAAAAATTTCCTCGGCCCGATGCCCATTCAACGGGTCTTGTTACCAAGCATCAAATTCGGGCCACAACATCACAGTAATTAATGCAAGGAAGATGATAATGATGATGTTAATCATCTCTCTATATATTAAGTTATATTCATTCCCTCTCCCATTATTGTCAATCTAATCTCTTTTAAGAATATTTGAGTTTTTTTTTCCCCTAAAAAAAGTAATTGGGAACTCCCCTGATATAATTCTTCACTTCGTTTAGGGATTTTTTTATGTTTGTTTACAACTTCGATAATCTCTTAGGGCTTCCAATTATCTTCTTATTGTTAGAATCAGATCAAAACACGACAAACCACAGAACTTTGGGATTGATTTTCCATGAATTTCAACAAATTCTTGTTTTCTTTTCTTCACAAAAGGGAAATCCATTTCTTATGAGATACAGAGTCAGACTAAAGCAGAAATGACTCATTAGATTATCAGATTGAATCAGATCTATTACTTCGACAAGCAAGTCAGATTAGAATCAGCCTTCGTCCACTTTAAATCTAATCCATTTCAGGACCTAGATGTAAGTATGAGTTTCAGAACCTGTACCAACACTCGCTATGATAGGGCCAAAGAGGGAGTATGTGGATCACCTTCTGTTGCATTGTCCTGTGGCCCATGACTGTTGGAGCCTTATTTTTGGTTTGTTTGGGGTCCATTGGGTCATGCCTCGGACTTCTCGGGAGTTGGTGGATATCTAGAGGGGCTAATGGATGGGGGCTCATGCTAGAGACTTTTGGAGGGTGACCCATTTTTGTGTTTTGGTGAAGCCTTTGGAAATAGCGGAATAGAAGATCTTTTGATGGGAAGGAGTCCTCCATTGGGGAGCTGAAATTCTCTATTATTTGTACTCTTTTTTGTTGGGGATGGGGGATAGATTATTCTTCTCTTGAGGATATTGTGGACTTTTCGGGCTCCATGAGTTCATAGGTTCCACTTTCTTATGTGTACAGCTTGGGACGCGTTCCCCTTTTGAATGCTTTCTAATACATTTTACTTATCAAAAAAAAAATAATAGGGCCAAAGAGTTCAACGCCGATTTCGTGATCTGGCATGAACCATATTAAATTATGATCTATAAAAATAAAATCTTCAAACAATTACTCAAAATGAGCAAAAGTAACCCATATCTCCCACATTGCAATTGTCATTGCTCTCAAAAGGGGGATAGAGGTACTAAAATTGTTTCCTTGATGCCAAGACAAGAAAACCCATTTGGCTAGAAATCAAACACCCAAATAATCCACCCCTTTGATAAGCATTAAGTATGTTTTTCAGTTTCATCACTCCAAGTGTTTGTGTTGCCATTAGCCAAATAAATAGATGCTAACACAACCTCCACCGTCACTCACAATTTCAATTGGCTAAAAATAGAGAACTTAAATCTGGGAAGATGCCAAAACAACATAATCACAACCAAAGACCACTATAACTATGTGTACTTTTAATCAGCTCTAGCCGAAATTCTTAAGCAACACCAACTAAAATGCTATGAAAGTCATGGAACAAGAAGAAAAATTAACAAAGAAGAAAACAAACATAAGGAATACGTTCAGATGGTTACCTTGTACAAGCCATCATATGTATAAACTTTGCCAACGTAACTATTAGCACATTTATGGCCCCGAACAACTCTAACAGGCACACCTTGCTCTATACAATTCTGCAATTCGATATAGAACAAGCAAAATTTACAAGGTCATGGAACCCTTTTTTTAGTATACAATGCAAATATGAAGAAAATATATAATACTTGGCTAAATTCATATAAATGAGAACAATACAATCAACAAAATAATAATAATAACAACAACAACAACAATAATAATAATACAATATTCATATTGGGTTTATATATATATATATTTTTTTTTAAAAAAAAAAAAAAGAGTCCAAAGGAATTGGATTAAAGCAAGCTACGGGTTAATCAAGTTAAACTGACACTATTATGACAAGATTAATTAAATAGGTCTAACACAACACGATTAATTAAACAGGTTTTACCCAAACACGATTAAAGTCAACCCAAACCCGCTAATTCCGTGCCCTATTTGAGTCATGTTGGCAGGTAGACCTCTAAACAGGATAGAACTGTATCATAGTCGATCCGGTCTAAAACCGATTAGCGCAATAGGCAATTTGATCTGATCTGATAATCCCATGGATTCTTATTTAATCAACCCGAATCTAATACACTTTTTCTATTTGCATAAACACAAATCAAGCAATTGATGCAAATAATTATCTAACTATTAATACTCAAAGAATAAACACCAAATCACAACATTACAAGGTTTGTCTATGTAATTAACTTGTGAAGTTCATTTTGCTACTGAAAATAGGTTCAATGCCTTCCAGCTAAAGGTAAAACAAGGAAGATCAAACCTGGGGTAAAAAAAACAGAGATAAATATGATTTGTACTTTTTGTTAAAGAACTAAAATCACCATAAATATACCAAAAGATATGAAGTGGGGAAAAAATCTAAAATAACTTTTGTTGTGATAGATGGAACACTATGGCTTATAATAGAAAAAAGAAAAGGAAGAAGAGAATGAGAGAATAAGTAACAAAAAACTCACTCTGCAAGAGTTACAGTTTGTGTTCCTGTGGAGAAATGAATTCAATTATATTGAATCTATTAATTAATTTTACAAGAGCCTCTGTTGGGCTATATATAAGAAATTACAAAGAGAAAAATCAGCAACTAACTTAATTTTGAAATCCCTATAATCAGGAATTCCTGATTCTCTATCAATCAAATCCTTAAACTCTAGGAAACAAATATTTACACAATTCTAGTGCTAACCTACCACTAATCAAGGAGGTGTTTTTCCACACTCCCCCTCAAGCTGGTGAATAGGTGTCAACCATTCCCAGCTTAGAAATAATTTCTTGGAAGATAACACGGTTGAGCCCCTTTGTAAGAACATCTGCCAATTGACCTCCCGTGGGAACATATGGTGTGCAAATTAATCCGCTTTCTAGTTTTTCCTTGATAAAATGCCTGTCTATCTCAATGTGCTTAGTTCGGTCGTGTTGCACTGGATTATGTGCAATGTTGATTGTTGATTTATTGTCATAGTAGAGTCTCATTGGCCCACTCCATTTAATCTTCAAGTCTTCCAGTATAATCATCAGCCATAACAACTCACAGACACCTTGTGCCATTGCTCTAAACTCAGCTTCTACACTTGACCGGGCTACAACATTTTGCTTCTTGCTTCGCCATGTTACCAAATTGCCTCCAAGGAATGTACAATAACCTGAAGTAGACCTCCGATCCGTAGGGGACCCTGCGTAATCTGCATCTGTGTAGGCTTCAAGGACAAGCTCAGAATTTCTCTTGAACATTATCCCTTTCCCAGGATTAGCTTTCAAGTAATGAAGCACACGGTAGGCAGCTTGAAGATGAATCTCCTTGGGGTCATGCATGAATTGGCTGATGACGCTAACAGAATATGCTATGTCCGGCCAGGTGTGGGCAAGATAAATGAGTTTTCCAACTAATCTCTGGTACATCTCTCTATCTACTGCTTGATCTCCAATAGCTTCTCCAAGTCTATGGTTCGGCTCTATAGGTGTTGCAGCTGGTTTGCCTGCAAACATTCCTGTTTCCTTAAGAAGATCGGTGACATACTTTTGCTGCGAGATGAAGATACCTTGTCTAGAATGAGCCACTTCTATCCCTAGAAAATACTTCAATCTCCCTAAATCTTTTATCTCGAATTCTTTAATCAAACATTGTTTCAAGGCCTATTTCTCCTTCTCATCATTTCCAGTCATAATTATGTTGTCCACGTAGACCATCAAGGCCGTGACTTTCCCTGAAACTGAGTGTTTGATGAAAAGAGTGTGATCTCCCTGACTCTGCTTGTATCTTATAGCTAACATCACCTTAGTAAATCTCCCAAACCAGGCACGAGGCGATTGTTTTAAACCGTATAAGGCCTTCCTTAACTTGCATACCTTGTTCCCTTCAACTCCTCCAAATCCTGGCAGGATGCTCATATAGATTTCTTCTTCCAAGTCACCATGTAGAAAGGCGTTCTTCACATCGTACTGCTGTAATTCCCAATTAAAATTGGCTGCTAATGACAACAAGATCCTTACAGTGTTCATTTTTGCAACTGGAGCGAAGGTCTCTTGGTAATCAACTCTATATGTCTGAGTGTACCCCTTAGCAACTAGCTTTGCTTTGTAGCGCTCTAACGATCCATCAGCCTTATATTTCAAGGTAAAAACCCACTTACACCCTACTGCCTTCTTTTCTTTTGGTAGATCAACCACCTCCCACCTCCCATTTTTTTCCAATGCGTCCATCTCAACTCTCATTGCTTTCCTCCATTCTTCATTGGATAATGCCTCAGATAAAGTGTTTAGAATAGAGATTTCATTTAGACTCGTGAGAAAACTCCTATGGGCTGGTGAGAATTTCTTTAAGGATACATAATGAGATAGAGGGTATAATAGTCGTTTGGTACACTCTCGAGTTCCTTTCCTCACGGCTATGGGCAAATCCTGGTCAATTATTTGAGGTCTAGGGAGCTGGTGTTCTATAACTGGAGTAGGTTCAGATACTGTTACCTCATTCTCAGGAGTCAGGTTAGAGGTTTGGGCCTGCATCGGATCAGGAGCTGGACCTTGCTTCCTCGAGTACACCTTCCCTTTCCCATACCATACAAGATCAAAAGTCATATTATCCTTCACAGGAGACACAACAGGAGATATAAGTGACAAAACAGGAAATTCAGGCTCAGGTACTGAGTTGGATGGAGTGTTTGATACAGGTAAGAGAGATGGTGACGGTAAAGCGAGCTGGAAAAAATCCTTATCTTCTATGTTAGATGACTCCCCCTGAAGATAAGGTCCAATAAAATACGGTTTTCCTTCCGCAAAAGTGACATCAACTGAGATATAAAGTTTCCTGGTAAGAGGATGCAAACATTTGTAACCTTTTTGTGTGGACGAGTATCCTACAAACACACACTTAATGGCTCTAGAATCTAATTTGCCCCGGTTGTTACGATGGACATGAACAAATGAAGTGCACCCAAATATCCTAGGGGTAAGGTTGTTTGTGGCACTAAGGTCGGGGTAGAATTTAGAAAGGACTTCCATTGGACTTCTTGACCCTAAAACCCGTGAAGGAAGTCTATTTATGATGTAGGCAGATGTAAGTACTGCTTCCCCCCAATAGTGTTTTGGTACATTTTGATGAAACAAGAGTGCTCTAGTAGTGTTTAGGAGATGACCGTTTTTCCTTTCAGCTACTCCGTTTTGTTGTGGAGTAGTAATGCAAGATGAATCATGAATAATTCCTTCCTTTTGAAAGAAGGGTGGCAAGACTTGATTGAAGTAATCCCTCGCATTATCAGACCTAAACCTCTTTATTTTGGTACCAAACTGATTGTAGATCATTGTATGGAAATTGAGAAAGATATTACTCACATCTAATTTGTTTTTGAGTAAAAATATCCAAGAGACTCTAGTGCAATCATCGATAAAGGACACAAACCACTGTGAGGTCATATAGGCTTGTCCTTGTTATCGTTGTTGCTGTCCTCCTTTGTTTCCCCATTCTCGGCTGGATGTGGGTGGTTTCCCGTGTAATTTCCAGCAACGATCCCTGGTATGTCGTGACTTTTTACAATATGTACACCAAAGATTATCTCAATTTGCCCCCTTTGATAATTCCGCCTTTCCATGTTCATCTTTTTGCAGTTGTTCTAGAGTGAAACCCCACTTGTTGTCACCAAAGACTACGAGTGTTGAGCTGTCAATCGACTGAGGTTCAAGCATGATTCCTCTCCGACTCTCTTCAGCCCGAATCAATGAAATCACCTCATTAAGAGATGGTACCTCCTCCTTGCCCAAAATTTGAATTCTGACTTGATCAAATTCAGAGTTTAGGCCAGTGAGAAAATCATAAACTCGATCTTTTTAATGAAATTTTTGATAATTACAGCGCATTCGCTGCACTTCAAATCAATCACCCGGTAGTAATCCAGTTCTTGCCACTGGTTTTGTAGAAAATTGGCATACTCAGTCACGGACTTGTTCCCCTGTTTTGTAGACGTTGTCTTTGTCTTGATCTCGTATACTTGCGCCGCATCACGAACCTTGGAGTAAGTCTGGTTGAGAGCGTCCCAGATGGCCTTCGCAGTTGGTAGGAACATGCATGTATCGCTGATTTCAGGTGTCATGGAATTCCATAACCAGGACATGACCATTGAGTCCTCCTCATCCCACGCTTCGAAACCTGCATCACCTTTCTTTGGTCCCGTTCCAAGCAAGTGACTTAGTTTCCCTTTTCCTTTCAGAAAAGTTCGAACCAATTGAGACCATTTCAAATAGTTCCTTCCATTAAGTCGGTACGCTGGTTGAATATTCTGCAGTTCACTCGTGGGGCGCTGAACCTGCTCTTCCTCAAGTGATTGGGATGGTTGAACAGTAGTTTCTGACATTCTTCAACAATCGGCTATGAAGGCCGGACAGAAGGGTTATGCGAAAATTGGCAAAAGAAATTGTTAGAGAATGACTGCGATGAAGGCAAGTCACAAAGAAAATTGGTTATGAAGGACTGAATAAAAAAAAATAAAAAAGCTTAATTTTTTTTTTTTTTTTTCAGGAAATCCAAGCCTTAAAGCTCTGATACCATGTGGAGAAATGAATTCAATTATATTGAATCTATTAATTAATTTTACAAGAGCCTCTGTTGGGCTATATATAAGAAATTACAAAGAGAAAAATCAGCAACTAACTTAATTTTGAAATCCCTATAATCAGGAATCCCTGATTCTCTATCGATCAAATCCCTAAACTCTAGGAAACAAATATTTACACAAATCCCTAAACTCTAGGAAACAAATATTTACACAATTCTAGTGCTAACCTACCACTAATCAAAGAGGTATTTTTCCACAGTTCCGACAGCCATGGAGGGAACTAGTGTCAAGGACAGTTGTAATTGAATTCAACGAAAATAGTACCAACCAATATTTTAGTTCTAATATTTTCAATATTTATTTTTCAAATACCACTACTTGATTTGCATGCTGTTTTGCAATGATTTTTTTTTCTTGTTTGTATTTCAATATGAGCAATCTATATTTGTCATGTTCGTTGAATTTTCTAGGTTGTCAAACTCCTTGTCTATTTCGTAGATTGTATACAGGAATTGTCTAGTAAAGAGGGTTTTTTCTTCTTATTAGCCATGCTCTTGTGTACTTCCCAAGTACAATGCATCACAACCTCTTGGTGCACTTCAATGCATCTTTTTGCTTATTTACATAATCAAAGTTGACATTTCAGTAACATTTATGCTCACACCATAACAGACAGACCCAACATGATAAGAAACAAGAGGAACATCATCTAGAAGAAATAATAAGAATACAGGGATACACACCTTCAGTCCCAAATTACCTCGTACCATTACTTGGTCTAGCATTTGACGCTTGTTGCCAAGTAAATTATTCCCACCCTGACCAGTGTACACAATATCTTCACAATTATCCAAATCATCCTCGTACTGGCCAGACAAAACAATGGCCACTGCAACTGGAAGCGTGTAGTTGCTGAACTCCTACAACATAACGGACAAACTTAATTCGCATTTTTTGTTTTCCTAATATTTAAACTAACAATAAAATTTGACAATAAGTTTAACTGCCTTCAACAACTCAGTTCTTGATTTGCAATGTCAGTAACAATGCCACAAAAATCATTTAACACCTATTATATTATAAGATCTTAATAAATAATTAGAAGGATGTTCAATTAAAATTAAAGCAAGAATTGTCAGCATGTCCCAACATAGAGCACTTCAAGTTCAAGGCACTGAGAGCATCAAGCTGTTAGCAAGATGTAAAGCAAAAAACGAAAATTAGCTCAAGAAATTTGAAGTTTTTTGATACAAAGAATAGAATTTCATGATTAACCAATCATCACATCAAATTTATTGTCTAAGACATACAGATATAATCTAAAATGTAATATATAACACCAAAATCCTATGATATTTTCCGTTATCTAAGAAAAGAGGAAACAGAACCATTCATGTGTATATTCAATTGATCAAGACCTACTTTACCAAAGTGAAGACCAGAAGGGGGAATAGAGTGTGTTCAGAAGCGTTAAGAGTGACAACCTCTAAACACTGAATGGTTCAGAGTCTCCAAAGCAGCTATATATATATAAGTCTAGGATGTAACCCAATTCTTTGATGACAAAATATGTACAAAGCCCAAAATAGATCTAGAGGAGAGGTAAATAGGTCCTGTCCAATTTTAAGTAAACTTTTTTTTTTTTTTTTTTTTTTTGATAAGTGAAATTTTATAGAAAAAGCACTCAAAAGGGAAGCGAATCCCAAAGACAAACAGAAGGTCAAAAAGCGCCTCAAGCCTTCAAAGAGGCCAAAAAAACAACAATCTCCCCTACAGATCTATAATCTCTCCCAGAAACCCAACAAAAAAGAGTGGAAATAATAGAGAACTTAAGCATAAAAATAGACTTCTCCTTTAAATCAAAATATCTCCGATTTCTCTCAAGCCAAATGCACCACCAAATACAAAGAGACGTAGCCCTCCAAGCGTCCTGAATGAGAGCCCCCGCTAAAAAACCTCTCCAAGCCTCAATCAACCCTCTAGAGGAACTAGGCATGACCCAAGGGATCCCAAACAAACCAAGCATTAAATCCAACAATCCCTAGCCATGCTGCAATGTAACAGAAGGCAATTAACTGTCTCCTCATCGCGCAGACACAAATAACAACGATTAACCACCACCTGATTCCTTCTCCTCAAATTATCCTGGGTTAAAATCCTACCCAAGACTGAGGTCCAAGCAAAGAAGGCCACCTTGAGAGGAGCCTTAGATCACCAAACAAACTTCCAAGGGAAAGAACCTTCAGAGCCAACCGTAAGGCACCTAAAAAAGGACCGAACCTCAAAGTGACCCTGAGAGTTAGAAAACAAGCATGTTTGCTGAAATCATCCAACCCCTTCCGGATGAGAGTCCAAACCCCCACCCCTCTAGGACCACGCACCTCAAGAAAACTCCACCCTCCACTGCTCTCCCCAAATTTGATCACAATAACCCTCCTCCAAAGCCAATGCCTCGCTACCCCAAACCTCCAAAGCCATTTTCCAAGGAAAGCCTTGTTGAAAGGCATCAACCTAATCCCTAAACCTCTACTCCGAATCGAAAAACACACTTTCTCCCAACGAACCAGATGATACTGGAACTCCTCTACTCCCCCCCCCCCCCCCCCCCTCTTCCGGATGAGAGTCCAAACCCCCACCCCTCTAGGACCACGCACCTCAAGAGAACTCCACCCTCCACTGCTCTCCCCAAATTTGATCGCAATAACCCTCCTCCAAAGCCAACGCCTCTCTACCCCAAACCTCCAAAGCCATTTTCCAAGGAGAGCCTTGTTGAAAGGCATCAACCTAATCCCTAAACCTCCACTCCGAATAGGACAACACACTTGCTCCCAACGAATCAGATGATTCTTGAACTCCTCTACTCCCCCCCCCCCCTCTCCCCGGAGAAAATTGCCCTACAATTTCTTAATTCTCTCAGCCACAGAAAAAGGAATCTGAAAAAGAGATATGAAATACGTGGGGAGGCATGAAAGGGTGCTCTTGATCAGAGTGACCCGGCCCCCATTAAAGAGGTACTGCTTCTTCCATCCCGCCAATCTCTTCTCAAATCTATCCACAACAGGATCCCAGGGGCAACCCCAAGTAAGAAATGGGAAAAGAACCAGTGCGACATCCAAGAATCTGAGCAAACATCTCTATCTCAGGGACCTCCCCAACCAACACTAGAACGCTCTTACAAACATTCACCTTAAGCCCAGAAACCACTTGGAACCAGACCAACACGCATCTCAAATATCTCAACTGGGTCGCATTCGCATCACAAAGCACTAAAATATCATCAGCAAACATCAAGTGGGAGATCTCCAACTGACTAGCAGCATCCCTGCCCACCCGAAAGCCTCCAAAAATTCCCAACTCGACCGCCCTCTTTATCAATCTACTAAGAGCCTCCATCACAAAAAGGAACAAGAAAAAAGAAAGCAGATCTCCTTGTCTCAATCCCCTCGAACTAGCGAAAAAACCCGTCGGAGCTCCATTCACAAGGACAGAGAAGCGAACACTAGAAATACAAAAAATGATCCATTTCCTCCACCGCACTCCAAACCCCATCCTCTCCATCAAGTAAAGAAAGAAACTATAGCTCACATGATCATACGCCTTCTCAATGTCCAACTTACACAAAACACCCGAAATCCCACTGCTCAATCTAGAGTCCACACATTTAAAAATTGAATCCAAAATATGACGTCCTCCCACAAAAGCATTTTGAGAGTCAGAAATGACACCATCCAAGACCTTTCTCAACCTAGAAGCCAAGACTTTAGCAATCAACTTATAAAAACACCCCACCGAGCTAATAGGGCGATAATCCCTAACATCCAGTGCCCCTCCCTTTTTCGAAATGAGGGCAATAAAAGTGGCATTCAAGCTGTTCTCAAAAGAGCCCTGAGCATGGAAAGCGTGAAATGTGCTAATCACCTCCTCACGAACCACCTCCCAACAATCCAAAGGGAAACGCATGGAAAATCCATCTGGACCTGGGGCTTTATCCCCATTATAGCTCTTTAACGCAGACTAAACTTCCTCTTCAAAAAAAGGCTCCTCCAGAACAGAGCACCCCTCAATCGAAATAGAATCAAAATGAAGCCCTGCAAGCAAGGGTCTCCAACCAGCAGATTCTGTAAACAACATCGAATGGTAATCGACAATACCCTTACAAATCTCCTCCTCCTTACAAAGCATTTCTCCATCCACCCGGATCCTCCCAATGTGATTGCCCCTTTTATGAGCATTGGCAAGTCTATGAAAAAACTTAGTGTTATTGTCGCCCTCCTTAAGCCACAAGGCTCTAAACTTTTGCCTCCACGAAATCTCCTCCACGACAGCAATCTCAGCAAACTCCGCCTGACACAACACCCTCCTAAGTCTCAAGGAATCCGCCAAAATGCCCTGACCCTCCATCCAATCAATCTCAACAATCTCTGAAAAAACCAGATTCTTCCTCCAAACCAGATTCCTGAAGTCCTCTTTGTTCCAAACTTTAACATCATTCTTCAAAAGACGCAGCTTACTTGCAAGAGAATGACTTGGGGTGCCAACCACTCTATACCTCGCCCACCAGGATCGAACTCGCTCCAGAAACCCCTCAGCCCCGAAGCCACATATTCTCAAATCTGAAAGGGTATCTTCTACAACGCAAACTACCACAATCCAACATCAACAGGACATGATTAGATATAGGGCGAGCCAAAGTGGCCTGAACAATATCGGAGAACTTCTCCTCCCAATCACTTGACCCAAGGAACCTATTAAGACGAGAAAGGGTAGGAGGAGAACGACCACTAGACCAAGTAAAAGGACCACCCACCAAAGGCAAATCAAACCAAGCCCCAAGGAACATGAATAACTGATTTTTTGACTCTAATAATTATATTTAAAATCCAGCAATATAAATAAGTTAAATATAGAGAGAAAAAAAATAAAGGTAAATAGGTCTTCTCCAATTTTAAGCAACAATAACTGTTATTAAAACTCTAATAATTATATTTAAAATGCAGCAATATGAATCAAATACAAATAGAGAGAGAAAATAAATTAAACATTCAACCACACATGAGCACAAAAAATTATTACGTGGAAAATCCAAACAAGAAAAATTCACAAGACCTAGTCCACAACTAAGTTAACAATTCTCAATCCCTAGAACACCTAGTTACCTCTCAACACACATTGATCCACCAACCTCTCAACTTGATTCCCTAGGTACACAGCCAGCCAGTCAACAAATCCACTCCTTAAGCAATCCTCTTGTCCATTCCGTCTAATGACTAGTCATCCAAGTTGCGTGTTCGTTTGCAAACACTTTGGTATTGAATTCTCCATAAAGCACAAGGATTATGATATTCAACTCACTATCTAATAATACAAGATGTAGATGATATAAAACAAAATATCATACCAAAATATTTAAATTGTCTCTCAATACGATCTCTCAATGATGTGTGTAGAAATCTCTCAATATATATATATATATATATATATGTTTTGAGAGCCTATAAATCTTTATATAGTGCTTCGAGTCCAAAGGAATTAAGATTTCTTAGTTGTAATCAGATTGGAAAAAACTAAATCTTCCAAGATTCTGATCTAGAGAAATTTTTGAAATACTATTCATGCACAGGTTGGTCCATTGAGCTATCAATTGACAATTCAACATATCAAGCATTCAATTGAATATTCTGGACTTCAATATAATTTTTTTGGGAAACTTTCAATCTATCAACGCATCGATCAAGCCATCTGTCTTTTTGAAAAAAATTTCCTTAAATAAATTCATTCCAAAACCAACTTCATGTATTCAGAACATCCATTTCATTGTATGCAAGTGTTCTAAAACAAGAACGCGTGATTATGAACCCTAACCAATGAGTGGATGATTAATGATTTTACTTTTTTGCCCTTTGATGTATCCTCAAATTCTGATTTTAACCTTGGACACTAACTAAATACACCAACTTATCAAAATTAATCAAAAGCTAAAATAAAAATACGAACTCCAGTTTGCTGCAATATTTGCCAACACTAAAGTTCTAATCCTAGCATAATATATTAATTGACTATGTGAACGTTTATATATTAGAAATGAAACATTATAAAACATAACAGAATTGAAGAACAATCAACAAGGCCTGGTGTTGGTACCTACAATCATCTTTGGCAAAACCACAATTTCTTTATGCTAAAAGACTTAATGAACATGCATCCAAGGTTAAAAAGAAACTTGGAGGACACTAAGTCAAATTTGTTTGTTTGATTTAATAAAACTGTGAATTACCACTGAATTTATTATGTTAACCGAAATTTGCAGAGAGAGAGGGGGGTCACATTAAACATTCAATATCAACACACATGTTTAACTTCCGATAAAATATTTCCCAAATCCTGGTTCCAACCTTCCATCATTGATAACACACAAGTTTTCAACTCCAGGCATAAGTATCCACAACATAAACTTATATCAAATTAAGTGCATCAAAAACTATGTATAGCCAACTCATGCAGAGTTCTTGTTGCAACCTTCATAGGATAACTCTAAAAGGAACATATATTAATCAAGAGCCATTACTAATTTATTCCTTTCTTAATATTTACCTTTATGCCAGAAGATTGCCCGATATAATCAATTCCATTAAGCCAGTGGCTATGAAAACCTACAACAACCATCTCGGCCCGTGAAAAGAACTGATGCCCAACCTCAATGCCTGCCATCAAGCGTCAACGCTTTCAAAAATTATATTGATACAGAATGTCTCTGATGCACAATTCATATAACAAGCTTGGCCAGAGTAATGGAAATTCAGCCAACTAAGCCCATCAATAATGCAAATAACGAATGCAGCAAGTAAATGGCACCAACCAGGAATAGAGCCAAATCTTTTATTTGGGTACAGTATAGCATTGGTCTCCCTCATCTGCAAAAATAAAATAAAATAAATAATAATATAATATAATATATATAAAATAAGATTTTATATTAGAATAATGCAACAGGAAACCTAGATATCCACATACTATAGAAACATGCCAAAGCCAACAATAATTTGCAATTAATAAAAAACGAAAAAAATATATTCCTATAGAATACAACTGCAACACCAAGAAAAAAATACAATAGTGATCACACAAATCCAAATTTGATGAAACTTGAGGCAAAAAACAACATGAGTTGATTAAAGGATAAGAACAAAAAAGCGATGACTTATGACCAAAAAGAAAAGATTCCCATCAAAATAATTTGGAAAGTAAATCCAACAGATGAAATTAAGACAACCGATGAATAAAATACATGATACCTCAACTTAGACTTCTAAACCAAGTTACTAGAATCCCCCTCTTAAAAATAAACTCAGCAATGGTACAGCAATGAATTTAAAGACTACAGGAGAGGGAGTTGATTCACCCACCAATAGAGTAAACAAAAAACTAATAACAAAATCAACACTGAATAAAATTATATAGCCAACGAAGCACAACTATATTTACATCTGTCAGAACAGCTGAACCGCATGTCACGGTATGGACTCAAGAATCTTGAATGAGACTTTGGGCACGGTTAACCCTTGTATGTTTGGACTATTGAAGGCAATCTGTAAAAAATTTCTTTATTTGGTGGTGGTAATGAGTTGAAGTCAGTGGGAGTCAATATAGAAAGAGTTAAAATAGAAATCCATAACATCCACATCAGACAGGATACATCACAAGATTAAAATCAAGAAAAGCAAAATGGATGTGAACTAAATGCAAGAAAACTACCATCAGGCCAGTGGCCTAGCGGTACCAAGCCCCTACTTCTCAAAGAGAGGTCAGGGATTCGAGCCTCAATAGAGGCATGTGTGTGTGAGTACCAACTAGGAAAAAAAAAAATGCAAGAAAACTAAGTGTTTAGAATATCAACAGGAGATCACAAAACAAGCCACAAATTAAGAAAGGAGCACCAAGAGAATAATGATAGTAGGGTATTCTGCCAATCAAAGAGTGACTTGCCTTAGTTATCGCCTTCAAATCAGGTCTCTTAGAAGCCTTCTTAGTATCATCTTCAGGTGCCACCTTTTTCTGCACAATTTTATATACTGTAATAAAACTAAGAAAAGTAGGACTGAAACAGATATTGGTTATATCAGCTTTCTCAATTGCAAATTCAAAAGGGAAAATAGAATAGAAAAATAGATTAACAATTGCACCAGTGACAAGTGACATTGTTGAGATAGTGAGCGTGATTAAAATGAGCATAATTTAATAGAAATATGGCCCACATTGGCACCAAATCACAAGATTTAATATGGCTCACATTGGCACCAAATCACAACATTGTTGAGGTAGTTAGCATAATAGAAATAACTTCCACCAACAAAAGGAAGTAAAAATTAGATACCAACCTTGGATTTTGAACCTTTTGCAGTTTTCCTATCAGCTTTCACTCTTCCACATCTTTTTTCTTCTTCCTATAGACAAGTATAAAATAGCTATATGAATAAAAAAAATCTCATGCAACCATCAGAGGTAAACAAAATTAAAAGGCAAATAAAGAAAAAAATTGCAACTCATACAAAAGATGCCTATGCGAGACAGAGAGAGAGAGAGAGAGGATGTTTTACTTCTAGCAAGTGAACAAATAATAATAATAAAGGATATTTTTTAAAGGATTTCGAAATTTTACATATATATTAACCAAGATGTATTATGCAAATTTATTTTAAGTTTTTGAACACTTATTAGGCCAAAAGAATGCCACGTGTGAGGGAACATGTTAGAGAATTTAAATTGTTAGTTACACTTTCTCTGACAGCTTAAACTTTTGGAGTAGATGGTAATTAACATGGTATCTGTGAAGAAAAGATTCTTAGTTCAAACTTCTTCGTCACCATGATAACTAAAAATTAGAACACGTGTTAAACAAAAAGAATGCCACACGTGAAGGAGCATGTTAAAGTTACACACTCTCTAATAGCTTTAATTTTTAGGACAAATGGTGGTTAACAGTTGAAATTGATTGAAACACTGACGCAACAATAATAACAATTGCTGCCATAAGTTAGCCTGAAAGCACTATTGTTTTTCCCATAAACTAGTTGGAAAACACAAGCATTGAAAGAATTATGACAATAATAAGATTGGCCTTGCACTAGGTAGTAGATTCAAGGATTTATTTTAGCAACCGAAGCTAAAGTAGAGAGTATAAAACGTAAATAGTAAAATCACTTTCTCAATAAAGTGATTGATAATCTTAAACCACATAAGCTATCCAAAATGCAGAAAAAATCTATCATGCCATTATCCACAATACCATATTTTAGTTGATTTCATAATTATTTTACCTCTCACGTTATTTCTGCATGAATACAACACAGGTCAACCCAATATAACACGTAAACATTAATATATACAAAAACCAACAAATATATATATATATATATATATATATATATATATATATAGACAGACAGAGAGAGAGAAGCAATGCTGTGTTCTCAGCACAATATAGAAGGAAAATGCACCTCTCCTGAAACAATGAAAACATTCCAAAATCAACAATTAGAAATTCTATTCACGTCCATTAAACTTAAGTTATAGTCCTAGAAGCAACCCAATTCAACATCTTCTTCAGTAACACAACATCAATCCCACATCTAATTTGTACAGAACCCTCATCTTATTCAATCTTATCATACCTGAAAACATTCCAAAATCAACAATTAGAAATTCTATTCACGTCAATCAAACTTATCTAAATATTTATGTTCCCTTATGGATAAACTGCGGATTGAAAATTGAAGCATGGTGAAAGGTCAAAATATTCCATGTAAACAGCAATCCCCAAAGACGAAAGAAAGGTACTGCCCTTTTTCCCGCATGAAATGGAATATTGAAGGATTGAGACAAAAATATTTCCAATTTCTCTGAAAAATAGCAGTTTTGAAGAAGTAGAAGAAGATGGCAGGGGAAATTAGAAAAAAGATATACATACCATTTGCTTGCTTAGCTTCCTAATAAATTTAATTGGGTTGGTGCATGCATAGCATTTGTCGGAATGCCAACTTAGTGTACAAAGAATACGGTTTTTGCCTACCATGTCATGGCATGCTTTTTTTGTTAGCAAAAATAATAATAATAACTCAATATTATATGAAAATAAACAAAAATTATTGGTGTAATCTTCCATACTTGTATATTACCACTTTACCAGTAAAAATCTTTAGAGACTACTAGATGAAATCTCTATAAATCTTTAGAGACTATTAGATGAAATCTCTATGTTGTTTGATAACTTACTCGAATTTGTGTATAGTCCTTAATTCTATTCTACTTTCTTCTAGTGCCAATGGATTTATAGGCCTGAAACATATTCAATGTACTCCACAAAATTGGATTTCACACATGGAATCATAGGCTTCATTTCAGTCACAAATTTACAATTCAATGAACATTTCCAACCAATACAATGATGAACAAATCATAATATGAAGCTGAATAGCATTGGCGTTCTTATGGCAAGACCAAGTTACCCATGTGCTGCTCAAAATTCTACTGGCCACTGCAGACCGGAATGCATGATTGCAAACTCAGTCACGCCTGTCCTATACAGTTCAAGCAATATATTCTCTATTTAACAATCGTGAGAGCAAAGCTTCAATTGTTAGCACATTACAGGTAATAAAATAAACTAGAGTATAGATAGTTACAATGTAGACAAAATTTTAAACTAGAACAATAAATAGAGCATCTAATGTTAAAATGAAACGCCAGTATTTTTGTCAAGATTAACCAGAGCATATAGAGTGACAAAACCAGAGGTTGAAATTGCTAAAATTACTCTTCACTTACATAGTAATCAATAAGACAAACAAGAAATAAAACAGAGTGCGCATTTATGGTCGAAGTACATACAACGCATACACACCCTACGTAGAAATAGAACAATATTTAGTGGTGAATATGAAAAGTAAACCTGTACAAAGTGTAGGTAATGCTTGTTAAAAGCCCTCAAAGTGTCGGTAACCCTAGCAGACGCGCTTTTCTCAACCACAGGCACAGTCGCTCCAACCTCTGTCAAAACTCTATCCACACCACCGTCAGTATTCGCACTATCCTGGGCAACCTCTGTCAAAACCCCATCCATCCTCGTCGCACCACCGTCAACGTTAGCACTATCCTTAGTAGTCCTATTGGACCCCAGAACCTGCGTATTGACATCAGAAGCATTGGTTTCAACCACCTGAGATTGAGAAGCCGCATTTGGCACATCCAACTTTCTTTTTTTGTACGATCTGCTTTTCTTTCGATGAACTTTCTCATCTAGTACATGATTCGATGACCCTTCTCGGTAGCGAGGGAGAGGAGCGTTTTTGCTCTTCAGCATCTGGATTCTAGCGCTACTTCTCCTCTTTGAGGAATCATCTGAAACCATCATGTGATCGTCCACGGTGGTGACTCCTCCTCCTTTTGTATCGAGATTAGTGGTGGTAATACGATCTTTGCAAGAAATGATTCGGGGAGGGGACTGTACGACCATTTTTGTAGCTCCAGAGCTGCAAACAAATAGTATGCAATTTGAAATTTAGGGTTTCTGAGTGAAGAGTCACGGTAAAGTTGGAAGAGGGAGAGCGTCAATGTCAATATAATCTCCACCCGAGGAATGAAGGCTACGAACAGACAGGTACAACTGTACGACCATAAATGATTTTAGAATAGTTTTCCCGCTCGCTTGCCCCAATTTTTTTTGGTGCCAAAATTTTGAAATTTTCAACAAAATAAAAGAAACATAAAACAAACAAACAAAAACAAAAGATTAAAAAAAATTCAACAAATAATAATTTCTCTCTGTCTATTCTTCCTTCCTCGTTAGTTCACGTAATATATATAATAGATTAATTGGATATGAAGAAGGAAAATTAGAAAATAATAAAGTGGGTAGTTATAATTACATGGAAAATGATTTGAAAGTGGAGGATTTGAAGATAATTAATTTTGGGTTAATTTGACTCACATTCTTTTATATTTGGATTAATATCATATTAAAATAATTTTTAAAAATTATTATCACTCATATTAAAAATATTTGATCGGCTTTTTCACTCCAACCCAAAAATTTATTTTTTAAATGTGTTAACAATTTTTTACATATAAAAAGACATTATTATTCATTTGGCTCGGTATATTGACTTATTAAGAAATTGTTTGATCGTATAAAATAACTTAATCATTCCTATACATCTTGAGTGACCAAAATACCCCTTGGCACTACTCTGACACACTGATCAATCACCCCTATCACCGTCATGGCCACCACCATACATATATACACACTGATATATTAGAAATTTAGAATGATAAAGTCTGAACTTATAAAAGTTTTCTTATTTTTGCTATATGCTTCTTTTTTTTCAAAAATTCATGACTACTACTAATTATTAAGCTCATCTAGGGAAAAGATCAGCAAACTTGCTGCATGAGGATCACAAAAATATAGGAAAAGATAATGAAATTTAACCATAACTTGGGATTACCAAGAAGTTAAAAACTTTTATAAACTTGAAAATTGACACAGTTGAAATGTTATTATAGATCAGTGAATTGGAAACTTTTGTCGTATCATTCCTTAACCACCCCCCTTTTTCTTTTTTCTTTTTTTTTTTGTTATCGTTCGGTTAAAATTTTGGTGATTGGGTTACCAATTTTATAATACTATGTCACCTAGACTCGGTATATCAACAATTTGAAAGGTTTATCGGAGCTCATTTATTCTTTATTCCACTCTCAATTTCTTGAGTTTTCTCTTCTAGGTTTTCATTTTTTTTTCTCTAAACTCTAAATTTCTTTCATTTTCGTTGTTTTTCCTTATGGGTTGCTTCTTTTTTTCTTATAGGCTTCTAATTTTATTGAAAAACCTCTCACCGTTTTTGAATTAAGATAACTCTTAAATTATTGGGTCATGACTTACGGGTGATACATATATGCATGCATATATATAAGGGTCATGGTGTGTGTAGGGCTGCATGAACAATTCAGGCTCGGCTTGTTAAAAACTTGGCTCAGAATTGTTCGTTAACTAAATGAGCCGAACTCGGCTCGTTAAACTCGTTAAGAGACTCATTTAAATAAAAGTAGTATATATTTAATTTATTATATTTAACAACCTAGCCCAATGTAAGAATTTAGCCCAAGTGAATACTTATATTTCATAGGCCCAATTAATACAAGCCCATCTTATATATGAAGTCCATTTAATGGCCCAAGTCATGATTCCTCTTACAATTTTATGGGTTAGGTTAGAAAACCCTAAGCGCAGTCCCACAAGTGATCCAAACTTTCCAGTATGCGTCACCTTTCCTTCTGATCTACAGGAAAATCAATATTTCTTTTATTCTCTTTCTCTTTATAGATATCCCATCGCATATGGTTATTGCCATTCTGGTTTTATGGTGAGGAATAGAGAAGACAACAGTGACGTTCCTCCAGCAAAATCAAACTATCGAAGAAACCTGGTTGCATTTGAAGCTAATGAAGATTATAGAAAAATTGTGATTAATGGTGGAATACGAAAAACTGATTTGAAGAAGATGATGGTGCCATTTTTGTTGCCGAAAACGATATCACATCCTTTGGATTCATGTGATATATATATATATATACACGAGCTCGAGTCGAGCCAAGCTTGGGCTCGTTGAAAATTTGGCAAGCCGAGCTCAAGCCTGGCTAGGCCAAGCCCGAGCAAGTCAAATCTCAGCTCGATTCAGTTCAGTTCATTTGCAGCCCTAGGTGTAGGGTCTTGATATAGTAAAAATATACACACACATATATATACACGAGCTCAAGTCGAGCCAAGCTCGGGCTTGTTGAAAATTTGGCAAGCCGAGCTCGAGCCTGGTTAGGCCGAGCCCGAGCAAGTCAAAGCTCAGCTCGATTCGGTTTTGTTCATTTGCAGCCCCAGGTGTAGGGTCTTGATATAGCAAAAATATACATACACATATATTCCCCGATTCTGTTTAAAGATAATGGTGTCACCGGCAGCTGTGGTTGTTTGTGTATAGGTAAATGTTGGTGTGTATTTTAGAGAGAGATGAAGATGAATCAGGGAGATGAAATATATACATATAAACATATTTCTTTTGTTAGGTGCAACTCCTAAATCAAATCTGGACTAACTAAAAAAAAATTACTGTCTGTTGTGTAAATTGCGGTTCGGTATGGACTTAAATTGAAAAATAACAAGTTAATTTTATTTTGGGTCAACTTACCATGTCAAACAACTTAAAGCCCAACCATTGTGACAATAATCTAAATGAACTTATTATAATTTTAAAATAGTTCAAGTGTTATATATATATACTTGTGTGGGGTCCACGAATTGATAAAGTCATCAATGAGGATTTTCTTGCGACGTATGGAGGAAGATGCATTATTGGCTTGTTTGGAAAGCTTCATTTTTAAGCCTATAAAAGGCCATTTGTATCTAATGCTGAAGATAGACTTGAATGAGAAACTTTTCATTCTCTCTCTCCCTCTCTCTGTGCAAGTTACTTTACATTTCTATACTAAATATTACTCTCTCTCTCTCTCTATATATATATATATATATATACACACATATATATTTATTACACGTTATCAATACGAGCTTTATCCATCTGAGATTTGAAGAAGAAGCTTTCTCTCATTCTTTCTATCCCAACTATATATATATTTTGTGATATTAGTTTGGATAGCTCGTTGGGTTGGTTTGCTTTATCGAAGAACATTGTATTTCTGACTTCAAAGGGTAAGAAAATTTTAATTATTAACTATTGTTCATAACATAAATTTGTGCACTTAAATGATATATGTCCTCACACTATGGTTGATTCTACCACCTTTATTATTTAATGATTCGTGACTAATTTTACAGTTTTTATTATTTAATAATTTATTTAGGCGTTACCACATTTGTTATTTAAATAATTCATATTATGTTATTGTTTCATTTAAATGCCATTTTATTTATTTATGTACTATACTAAATTATATTTTTATATTGTTGTCACATCTAATTATTCTGAAAATGTCAAACTTGACAAAGCTGGAATTCGTGGCTTTGGATATTTCTGACAAAAATTATTTATCTTGGATTATGGATGCTCAGATCCATTTAGATGCCATGGGCCTTGGAAACACAATTAAAGAAAAGAATGATACATCATTACAAGATAAAGCGAAGGCCATGATTTTTTTCGGTGCCATATTAGTGAGGAGCTTAAAACTGAATACCTCACTGAAAGAGATCCATTGTGTTTGTGGAACAATTTGAAAAAAAGATATGATCATCAAAAAACAGTTATCCTCCCAAAGGCTCGAGCTGATTAGCAGCAACTGCGGTTGCAAGATTTTAAAACTGTGGTTGAATATAACTCTGCCCTATTTAAAACCAGCTCTACATTAAAATTATGTGGTGATACCATTACTGATGAACTTTTGTTGGAAAAAACATTCACCACATTTCACGCCTCAAATGTGTTCTCACAACAACAATATCGAGAGCGTATATTTAAAAAATATTCAGAGTTGATATCATGTTTACTTGTGGCAGAACAAAATAATGAGTTTTTATTAAGAAACCACCAGTCTCGTCCAACTGGATCGATACCGATCCCTAAAACATATGTTGCCTCATCACGCAGATGTGGACATGGTCGTGGTGGTAGAAATGGCTACAATAATAAATATGGTCGTGGTAAAAATAACTACCACAATAATGAATACGGTCGTGGTAAAAATCATTTTAAGTACCGTGAAGGATATCAATTCTCACATTCTCGCAATCAGAAATCCACACCATATCCCCAAAAAAAGAGATTATAATGAAATGAAACAAGTAAAAGGGAATGATGTGGCTCAACCTTCCAAGGCACATAATAATACTTGTTATCGATATGGAATGACATGGCATTGGCAAAGCATTTGTCGTATACCCTAGCATCTGGCTGAGCTTTACCAAGCCTCAATGAAAGAAAAGGAGAAACAAAAGGAAATGAATTTTATTGATCATGATGAGCCAGTTGACATCACAAATCTGGAAATGAATTTCATTAATCATGATGAGCCAGTTAACATCACAAATCTGGATGTATCAGATTTTTTTGAGGACCATGATGGAAAGATTGACTTCCTGATTGGTGATGGATATGTCCACACCAATTAATCCTATTTTATTATCATATTCTGTCAATTATGTTTTTGTTGTATTAAATTTTTTATTATTTATCTTCTAGGTTGTATTAAAGTTTATTTAGTTATAAATGTTTCTTTTCTGATAAAGAAATTTGCATGAATATGAATGGATTTGACTAGTTCAAAAATAATGGTGAAGACATATGTCTTGTAGATAGTGGAACAACACATACAATCCTTCGAGATCAAAAATATTTTTCTCACCTAACTCTGACAGATGCTAGTGTCAGTACAATATCAGGTCCCATCGACTTGCTTGAAGGCTCTGGACAAGCCAATATCATCTTACCACATGGAACAAGATTACAAATCAATGATGCCTTATATTCTACAAAATCTTGGAGAAATCTGTTGAGTTTTAAAAACTTGCGTCGTAATGGGTATCATATTGAGACTGCAAATGAAATAAATGTGGAATATCTCTACATTACTTTCATTACCTCATGCAAGAAGCAAATATTAGAAAGACTCTATGTTTTCTCTTATGGATTATACTACACAACCATTAGAACAATTGAGTCCAATGTTGTGATATATAAAAAATCTTGTGACCCAAAACTTTTTATACTTTGGCATGATCGACTTGGTCACCCGGGGAGTATAATGATGCGTCGAATTATTGAAAATTCACATGTA